TCCCATTCCTGTTCCCTCTTCGGGAGGGGTGATCCAGTGCAGGAGACACCATCCCAGGATAGAAATACCTTTGTTTTCTAGGAAGCTTCACAATAAGATGCCAGTCTGGCTCCCCTCCTGCCCCAGGGCAGCTGCTTCCCATCCCCGCTCCCCACTCCTCTCCCAGACATCCTCACCACTGACCTTCGTTCAGCGCCTGGTGGATGAAGTCGGCGGCAGGGTAGAAGTAGGGGCTCATGTCGAAGGAGGGCGAGTCGTGGGCCTCGATGCCCAGGTAGCGGATGCCCGTGCCCTCGTAGTACTCGGCGCCGCCCCTCCACCTGCTGTGCGAGGCGTTGAGGACGTGGGTGATGCGCAGCTGAGCCAGCTCCCGGCGGTTGGCCGCTATATCTCTGCGGGGCGTGAGAGAGCAGGGCTGTCACTTTAGGCTAGTTAAGAGTTTCCACTGGCAGGGCTGTCCCGGACTAACTTTTATGCCTGAGAAAGCTGGACACGAAGGAAAAATGCCCAACTCTTAAGACTGTTGAATTTTAAGTCAATCTTATAGTCTCCATCTCCATGGACGCTCCACATCCACCTACCCCACCACAGCAGTGCTCTGAACTCTGCCCAGCCATGTTTATGTCCTTCCTCTTCCTTCGTTCCAAGGTACCACCCATCACGTCCTACTCTCCCTCACATTTCCCAGCCTCCCCCTCCCGGATTTCCCCGTTTCACAAAAACAGCCCTTGAACCCCTCCCAGACTCCCATCCCTTTCTGATACATACTGATCGCCCAGGTAGAGTCCTGGCCAGACCTCATCAGCATGGTTACAGGCTGTCTTTCCTGTGTACAGCAGCCTCTCCAGCTCAAAGACGCTGAGGATGGGGTGGTGGTTGCGCTCCTCCCGAGAGCTCCTGCTGGGTGACCTGGTGCCATTCCTGGAGAAGCGGGACAGGAACGCCATGGGAGCTGCCGAGACCCACCAGGCATACCTGTGGGGTCCTGAGGGCCGGGCAGCGGCCTGGAGGTCGCCTCTGCTGCTGCTGCCACCCACGGTCCTGCCACAGAAGCAGTGGAGATGCCATGAGAAGAACTGGGGACCTCTCACTCCATCCCTTTTGTAGAAATACTGACCCCAGGCAGCCAGTTCTCACCTTCCTGAAGAAAGGGCTGTGTCAAGTCAGCTCTCCAGTGGTTCCCAGCGTGAGACAGTATCACACACACTCCCTTCCAAGAAGCAGTACTGCTGGGGAGAAGTTTATGATGCCAGGGCTGGAGAGGGAAGCCAAAGAAGCAGCCAGATTGCTGAGTCTCCACAGGCTGAGGTTTTGCTCCAGCCCCACGACTTTGGGTTGAAGCCACATTGGCAAGAGATGTTCTACACAGGACCACCTTCCTTCTGAGCTGGCTCTGGGGCTTTGCCTGCCAGCGGGACAGCGCCAGCTCGAGAACTGATGCTGCCAACCTGCCTTCGGAAGCAAGGAAAGGCGGCCAGGTCTGGGCAAGACACCAGGACTGGGGAGGAAAAATCCCCAAACAGGTGGAGGATTCCATATGGCACCACGCAGAGTCTGGCCAGGACCCAGCCTCCTATGGACCAGGCACAAAAGCCTGTGGGAAGGGAGAGGCAGGGTTAACCCCTCCGAGCACAGCGGTTCTGCCGCTGCATTTGAACATCTGCGATGGGTTTGAGGTGGGAAGAGTTAATTTCAGGGGATGAAAAAGCTCATTTTAGAGCAGGGATCCTCTAGGACGAAGCTCTGCTCTTAAAGCTTTAAGTCATGCTGGTATTTGTCACACATCTGCATGAAACCTCCCTGGACAGCCTTACCCACACGGAGCAGGCAGATGTTTGTCAGAACTGCCTTTTTTTGCTCATTTGCCCCACTGACAGAGCCCCCCCGACAAGAGAATACAATTCTCTTTCCCATCAGCACTGCTGCTGCCCTGAGCTGCCCTGGAAGGTGTCCAAAGA